CTTCTTCTAACGTGCCACTATCGGCCCACCTCTGGAAAGTTAACAAAAAGATCTATCTCGGAACAAGTAGCCTCTATCTATGACCCATTAGGACTGCTTACACCGCTCACGCTCCGAGGGAAGCACTTTCTACAGCAGCTTTGGAAACTCGGCTACGAGTGGGACACTCCGCTGTCAGTGGAACACCAGCAAGAATGGCAGAACATTGTAGAAGGAGCAGATGGCTTCGAGATCGCACTTCCGAGAAAAGTTGCTCACATCGACACTCATGTGGGCCTTGTTCTTTTTGCTGACGCTAGTTCGCACGGAATGGCAACCTGCGCATACCTCGTCTCTGGATCAGGCAGCCACATTGTAGCTGGGAAGTCCAAACTTCCATCCATCAAGGACAAGCCGACTATTCCGAAATTGGAGCTTAACGCTCTTACCATGGCGATGAGGCTAGCATATTCAATTTATGGGGCAATCAGGCATCGAGTCCAAATTGAACAAGTATGCGTTTTCTCCGACTCAGAAATAGCTCTCAGCTGGATCAAAACACCGACTTTGGAGCAATCGGTCGGCGTTCTTGTGAGGAACAGAGTTGCTGAAATAAGAAGAATTTGTGATGAGCTCTGCACCACGGTTCTGTTCGGATACGTGAGTACAACCGACAACCCATCAGACTGCGGAACAAGAGGGCTAACTAAGACAGAGTTCGAAGGACACATGTGGTGGCAAGGACCAGAGTTCCTAAAACAACCATCGTACTGGTCAAAAGAATGTCGAATGTTCGCCTTACCAGTTGAACAATCATGCTCGGTCACAACAGTTACAAGGTCCTCATCGGAACTCCTGGATTGGACTCGACACAATCATCTGCCGTCCGTGAAGAGAACTTTGGCGTATGTACTGCGCTTCATCCATCGACTCTCGCTGAAGGTGAATGCGGAGCTGAGAAAACGACTCGAGGCAAGCATTCCAGAACTGCGCCGGATGTCAAGTGATGCGTACATAACGGCCGAAGAGAATGAGATGGCTCTACGTGTGCTCGTTCGACATCACCAGCAATCTTATTTTACGGAGGAACAGCTGAAGGCATTGAAACAGCTCAACATACGACGAGATGAATTTGGGATTATACGATGTCAAGGTCGTTTAGGGAATGCGCACATGGCCTTCGACACTAAGCACCCGATGTTAATTGCTTCTAAGACGGATTTTGCGAAAGCAGTGGTGAAGGACGCGCATCTTCCATACCACTGCAGTCCTGCACAGACGATCGCCAACGTCAGACAACGCTTTTGGATTCCGAAAGTACGACAACTGGTAAAACAAGTGTTACGAGTGTGTGTGCCTTGTCAAAGGCTGAACAGCCTTCCGTTCAAGTATCCGGAGATGGACGACCTACCAAAGCAACGTGTACAACGAGCTGGTACTTCCAGACTTCGGACACATTGTCGACGTCAT